CACTGTATAACAATCTGAACAGTTCATTCTGTTACAGCATTAGTACACTGTATAACAATCTGAACAGTTCATTCTGTTATAGCATTAGTACACTGCATAACAATCTGAACAGTTCATTCTGTTACAGCATTAGGACACTGTATAACAATCTTAACAGTTCATTCTGTCACAGCATTAGTACACCATATAACAATCTTAACAGTTCATTCTGTTACAGCATTAGTGCACTGTATAACAATCTGAACAGTTCATTCTGTTACAGCATTAGTACACTGTATAACAATCTTAACAGTTCATTCTGTCACAGCATTAGTACACCATATAACAATCTTAACAGTTCATTCTGTTACAGCATTAGTGCACTGTATAACAATCTGAACAGTTCATTCTGTTACAGCATTAGTACACAGTATAACAATCTGAACAGTTCATTATGTTACAGCATTAGTACACAGTATAACAATCTGACAGTTCATTCTGTTACAGCATTAGTACACTATATAACAATCTGAACAGTTCATTCTGTTACAGCATTAGTACACTGTATAACAATCTGAACAGTTCATTCTGTTACAGCGTTAATCTGAAGTCCGGGGTTGGAATCCCGGTCTAGCTCTGCCGAATGTTTTACACTCAGAACACTCTTGTTGACCATATTTTGTTTATTTCGTCTTTATGAAAGTCCCACAAGGTACGGTTAGCTTTATCAGAAAAAAATTATCAAAATTATAGTCATGCTAGTAAAAACGGTTTCCAACACGCAGTTACTTTTTATGGCAGTGGTACGGGGATCCTTAAACAGTCTCCAATACTTTGTTACAGTTTTCGGCAGTGGTACGGGGATCCTTAAAGCAAGTGTTCAAAAGAAACAAATTCACTTGATATGGTTATGTTTGATATACAAAATCTCCACATTACATCATCATGTTATTAACCTACCAGGTACATTATATCTAAATCTCTATATTACATCATCATGTAATTAACCTACCAGGTACATTATAATATATTTAAATTTCTATATTACAGCTGGTCCACGATTTGAGGTGTTCAACTTCGACTCCAAGGTGATGATCAGCAAGACAAAAATTCACGAACCTGTCGTGTTCTGGACGTGGCTCAACTCTGACATCATCGCCATGGTGACAGACACACTCATCTACCATTGGGACCCCTGGCAAGGTAAGCCGCCACAACAGTAGGTGTTTAACTAGCAAACCATATTGTGATGTAGAAAGTATGGGGAGTGGGCGATCCAACATCCGTTCAAAGAGTTAAGTAAAGTCCTGTGTTACCCAGCAGACGGATTCCACAAGGAATACACCGGTACAGCGGTAGTAGTAGAGTTATCAATAGGTAAACATGACCATGACAACGATGTGCTGGGCTTACTGGCTTTAATCAAAATTAATTAAAATGACATTAACTAGTAAGTGTAATTTTTAATTTTGATTAAAGCCAGTAAACCTAGCAAGACATTTAATCAAAATTAATAAAAATTATGTTAACTAGTAAACGTAATTTTGATTAAAGCCGGTAGCCCAGCAAGACATTGTCACGGTCATCTTTACCTGTTCATATTGTGATGTACGTAGTGTACAAACAGATCAACTTAAATTTATTTTACAGCAATTTGAAACAATATTTTCCAATTTAATCACTCTTGTCAACTTGTCAACCCAGAGGGAATTGCACTGAAGGTCTTACAAAGGAGGAAACTGGAGTACCCAGAGAAAACCTGGGTGATTGGGCAGATGACCCTATACAGAAAAACCTCACTATACTGCCACCATTTGTCCAGAGAAGTTTTGGCGATATAAAGGGGTTTGGCGATAAATGGAAGGAAATGTATAGATAAATTCTTAAGAAAAGAAAAAGGGACATTGAAATATGTCGGCGGTAAAAGAGGTAGCAAATGAAACGAGGGGCATTATATCGAGGTTTTACTGTAGCTTTTGACACCAGTTTAGTAATCAAAGCCCACCTCTCTTGGTAAAAGGCGAGTGTTTTATCCACTATGCCAATTTATCCCCTATCAGATGTAGTCTTATACTTAACTGGAACTGTGTGAAAACTTAAAAGAGATGATACGTAGCATGTAGTCTAGTGGTAGGACGCCGGCTCGTGACTGAAGGATTGCAGGGTCGAGTCACGGCACGGCACTGTGTTGTATCTTTGAACAAGATACTTTACTACGCTTGTTCCAGTCTACTCAGCTGTAAATGAGTACATGGTTGGGCAGTGCTGGAATTGTTGAATGCTAGCTGTTAGCGCCTAAATGGCAGCACCGGCTGTATGCTCCCCAGGTAGTGGAGAAAAGATATTGGCTGGTTGCAAAGGCCCTATAACCACAGATAATAATTTGTGAACCGTTTTGAGATGACCTTCGAAATAGGTTGTGGTAAAGCGGTATATAAGAACCTCCAATTATTATTATTATTTTTATTAAATTAATTGTAAATAAACTACAGAATCTAGAAGTTTCTGCTCCATCTTTCCTATTCTAAAAGGAATATTGTTTTTAAATGTCTTTGTTCTAGCAGACAATCCCCCTGAGCGAGTGTTTAGTCGCCATCCGAGGCTGGCTTTCAGTGAAATCATCAGCTACAAGGCTGACCCGAGCCTCAAGTGGTTAGCAGTTACGGGACTTACACCAGAGGTTAGTACCACAATTACAGATTATTAGACTCTTTCATGCCAAAAGGTGTAGGACTTGAAAATCCTGAGAGTGGAATTTCCCTATCCTACACCCTTGGGCATGAATGAGTATTTTTTTCTCAGTCCAACTACCAGAATTAGCTGAAAATGCATTTGGACCGGCTACCGTTTTGAAAATATCAATGTTTCCCCTGAGCTTTTTTGGCGAAAACGAATTTGTCAGCGAGATTTAGCACACCCCATCAGAAAAACTGATCACATCTATCTAATGTGTATGGTAAACAGATCACAAAACGTTTTAATCTCATCACATCGCCTTTTCTGCATTGCGGCATCAGACTTTTCTAAATTGGTGATGTCGCATCATCGTTGAACCATTGTGACGTCCCTTCACATAAAATGGGGTGTAAGATAGAAATTTCTTACACCCCTTTCTTACCCTGGACAGCTCTATCTTACGTACAAGGAAATGAGAAAAAAATGTTTCTATTCTACTAAAGCTTTTCTTTCAGCGATGCGTAGATAGATTTGTATATCAGACTTTCCTGCCACCACTTGTATAAATTTATCAAAATTGAGGAAATCTTAGCAATGTATTGTCTATGGGAAATCTTAGACTTGAGGAAATCTCAAGAATTGATATGTTTTATACAAGCAGGGCACGTCTGTTTATCAGAATGCTGTCATTTACATGCGTTTTATTTTCAAATAACTGTTAAACTCTGTTAATACAGACTTGGATGCTCTGTATCTTCTCAAAGTTTGGTCTAATGGCAATTAAATTTAAATGCTAACGTACACTGTAGATATGAATTTGTGGGTTTTTTTCTTGTTACCAATTTTACTGACATATGTTGTTCCCAGTTCCGAGGGACCCTGGTACTGGTAAATATATGATAGACTTCCTGATCAAAACTTAAGTAATCTGTTTCTAAATTAACACAAAACGAAAGAGTAACTGAATGGGAAAAGCTAGATGGGTTCCGAACTTATGTATTGGTAAAGTATGCAATAACTCAAGTTTGCCGTAACTAAAGGAAGAAAATCTACACGTAAATATTCGTTTGGTTAATGATCTGTAATAAATCGGAAATAAAAGTTGAAAAAATCTGTAACTTCAGGAGAAGAGAATCTCAGGGATGACTCAGCTGTACAGCGTCAGTGATGACATCACACAGTGTATTGGTGCCCATGCGGTCAGTTTCTCAACCTATCACTATGACGATAATCCTTCAGCATCCACCGTCATGTGTGTAGCGTCTAGGGAGACTTACGACCACGGCAAGGTAAGGTTACCATGGCAACCCCAATGACCTGCAGGTAGTCCACAGCATGTTGTGGTATCACCACAAGGTAAGGTTACCATGACAATCCCAATGACCTGCAGGTAGTCCACAGCATGTTGTGGTATCACCACAAGGTAAGGTTACCATGGCAACCCCAATGACCTGCAGGTAGTCAACAGCATGTTGTGGTATCACCACAAGGTAAGGTTATCATAAAAACTCTGTCATGGTCAACTTCTTTGTTGTCAATGTTGTGTTACCAGTACAAGGTAACTTACCTGCAGTATGTCATGTAATCATAGCGAAGTAATAGTACCATGGTAACTGCAAGTTAAGGTTAACATGACAACCCCTTCACAATCAATGTAATATGACCAAATATTAATATCATTACCGCGACAACTTATTCATATTCTGTGTCATGTAACTATGGCAAGGTAAAGTGACCATGACAACCCTTCACAATATTCGGCATTTAACCAAAGCGAAGTAACATTACCACGACAACTTATTCATAGTCTGTATCATGTAACAATGGCAAGGTAAAGTTACCATGACAACCCTTTCACAATCTTTGGCATTTAACCAAAGCATAGTAACATTACCACGACAACTTATTCATAGTCTGTGTCATGTAACAATGGCAAGGTAAAGTTACCATGACAACCCTTTCACAATCTTTGGCATTTAACCAAAGCGTAGTAACATTACCACGACAACTTATTCATAGTCTGTGTCATGTAACAATGGCAAGGTAAAGTTACCATGACAACCCTTTCACAATCTTTGGCATTTAACCAAAGCATAGTAACATTACCACGACAACTTATTCATAGCCTGTGTCATGTAACAATGGCAAGGTAAAGTTACCATGACAACCCTTTCACAATCTTTGGCATTTAACCAAAGCGTAGTAACATTACCACGACAACTTATTCATAGTCTGTGTCATGTAACAATGGCAAGGTAAAGTTACCATGACAACCCTTTCACAATCTTTGGCATTTAACCAAAGCGTAGTAACATTACCACGACAACTTATTCATAGTCTGTGTCATGTAACAATGGCAAGGTAAAGTTACCATGACAACCCTTTCACAATCTTTGGCATTTAACCAAAGCATAGTAACATTACCACGACAACTTATTCATAGCCTGTGTCATGTAACAATGGCAAGGTAAAGTTACCATGACAACCCTTTCACAATCTTTGGCATTTAACCAAAGCGTAGTAACATTACCACGACAACTTATTCATAGTCTGTGTCATGTAACAATGGCAAGGTAAAGTTACCATGACAACCCTTTCACAATCTTTGGCATTTAACCAAAGCATAGTAACATTACCACGACAACTTATTCATAGCCTGTGTCATGTAACAATGGCAAGGTAAAGTTACCATGACAACCCTTTCACAATCTTTGGCATTTAACCAAAGCATAGTAACATTACCACGACAACTTATTCATAGCCTGTGTCATGTAACAATGGCAAGGTAAAGTTACCATGACAACCCTTTCACAATCTTTGGCATTTAACCAAAGCATAGTAACATTACCACGACAACTTATTCATAGCCTGTGTCATGTAACAATGGCAAGGTAAAGTTACCATGACAACCCTTTCACAATCTTTGGCATTTAACCAAAGCGTAGTAACATTACCACGACAACTTATTCATAGCCTGTGTCATGTAACAATGGCAAGGTAAAGTTACCATGACAACCCTTTCACAATCTTTGGCATTTAACCAAAGCGTAGTAACATTACCACGACAACTTATTCATAGCCTGTGTCATGTAACAATGGCAAGGTAAAGTTACCATGACAACCCTTTCACAATCTTTGGCATTTAACCAAAGCATAGTAACATTACCACGACAACTTATTCATAGCCTGTGTCATGTAACAATGGCAAGGTAAAGTTACCATGACAACCCTTTCACAATCTTTGGCATTTAACCAAAGTGTAGTAACATTACCGCGACAACTTATTCATAGCCTGTGTCATGTAACATTGGCAAGGTAAATTTACCATGACAACCCTTTCACAATCTTTGGCATTTAACCAAAGCAAAGTAACATTACCACGACAACTTATTCATATCCTGTGTCATGTAACATTGGCAAGGGAAAGTTACCATGACAACCCTTTCACAATCTTTGGCATTTAACCAAAGCGAAGTAACATTACCACGACAACTTATTCATAGCTTGTGTCATGTAACAATGGCAAGGTAAAGTTACCATGACAACCCTTTCACAATCTTTGGCATTTAACCAAAGCGTAGTAACATTACCACGACAACTTATTCATAGTCCGTGTCATGTAACTATGGCAAGGTAAAGTTACCATGACAACCCTTTCACAATCTTTGGCATTTAACCAAAGCGTAGTAACATTACCATGACAACTTATTCATAACTTGTGTCATGTAACTATGGCAAGGTAAGGTTACCATGACAACCATCTTGTATTCTATGTCATGTAACCACTGCTAGGAAAGTTTACCATGAAAACTCTTTCATAATATGTCGTGTGGCTACAGAACGGTTACCTTACTGTCATTTATCCATGACATTATATGGTTACCAAGACAACCCCCTTAAAGTTAGTGACATGTAACTATATCTAGGAAGCATTATCCTGACAACCCCCTCATATAGTTTATGTCATGTAAAAGTGGCAGTGTCAGATTACCATGACGACCGTTTCATATCATATGTGGTGAAATTACACAGGTACACAGGCATGAGGTTTGATCTGAAAAAATCCTAACTTGAAATTTACATCAAGAATCTTTTTCGTATCAAATTCAAGTCAATTTTTCTCCAGAAATTGATTGGTTTTGCTCTTTTCATGTAAAATTGACATGAAAGTTTGACCTGAAATTGGCCGGACTTTGACATGAAAAAAAATCCTTGATGTCAATTTCAGGTTTCAGGTCAAATTTACCTCAAAATTTTTGCCTGTGAAGACAAAAACATAGTTACAAGATAAATTTACCATGACAACCCATTAAATTGAACCTCTAGTCCTGGTATTGGAAGGGCAGGTTACACTAACAACCACCCATATTTGGACGTGATTTGTGTGATGACTATTTATAGAAAACTGCTGCCTTGGTAACAATGGTTTTACAATCCAAACGTCTGACCCTAAAGAGCTGTTGGTTGTTACAGGTTCATGTTATAGAACTGGGTCCTTACAAGCAGGGAAACTTTGCTCCAAGGAACAACTATGACCTCATCCAGTTTCTGGACGATGTTGACCGTTATGACTTCCCAATATCTCTGCATGTAAGTACTGTAATATGTGTCTTATAGTTAATTATTTCCAGAATAAAAGCTGATAGAATTTGACCTAGAGAAATAAAGGCACTCTACTGTATACCCTTTCACCACCGTAGACCATAATGGTCTCATCCAGATCAATGTATGGTAGAGTTTACTGAAGTTACACAGGGATTTAAGGGTTCATAAGTAAGCAACTATTTCAATATCTTTTTCAGTGATTGACACTGTAGTATGCATGATTTTGTATGGTCTGTGATTTTTTTTTTTATTAAAACTGATTTCAAAATTGCAAAATAATTGCTAGATAATCACATTTATAATTCTATGATCTGTAGGCATGTTGTATTAAATTACGTTTAATATGTTTGATATCTTTATACTTCATAGGTATCATGCAAGTATGGCCTGCTGTTTGTATAAATACGGCCTGCTGTTTCATATAAGTACAGCCTACTGTTTCATATAAGTACAGCCTACTGTTTCATATAAGTACAGCCTACTGTTTCGTATAAGAACGGACTGCTGTTTCATATAAGAACGGACTGCTGTTGTGTATAAGTACAGCCTACTGTTTCATATAAGTACAGCCTACTGTTTCATATAAGTACAGCCAACTGTTTCATATAAGTACAGCCTACTGTTTCATATAAGTACAGCCTGCTGTTTCGTATAAGAACGGACTGCTGTTTCGTTTAAGTACAGCGTACTGTTTCTTATAAGTACAACCTACTGTTTCATATAAGTATGGCCTGCTGTTTCGTATTAGTTCAGCCATCTGTTTCGTAAAAGTACCGACTGCTGTTTGTATAAGTACGGACTGCTGTTTCGTATAAGTACGGCCTGCTATTTCGTATAAGTACAGCCTACTGTTTTGTATAAGTACAGCCTGCGGTTTCATATAAGTACAGCCTACTGTTTCATGTAAGTACAGACTGCTGTTTCATATAAGTACGGCCTGCTGTTTCGTATAAGTACAGCCTGCGGTTTCGTATAAGAACGGACTGCTGTTTCATATAAGTACAGCCTACTGTTTCTTATAAGTACGGCCTGCTGTTTCGTATAAGTATGGCCTGCTGTTTGTATAAGTATGGCCTGCTGTTTGTATAAGTATGGCCTGCTGTTTTGTATAAATACAGCCTGCTGTTTCGTATAAGTATGTTCTGCTGTTTCATATAAGTACAGCCTACTGTTTCATGTAAGTACAGCCTGCTGTTTTGTATAAGTACAGCCTGCTGTTTTGTATAAGTACAGCCTGCTGTTTGTATAAGTACGGCCTGCTGTTTTATATAAGTACGGCCTGCTGTTTGTATAAGTACGGTCTGCTGTTTTATATAAGTATGGCCTGCTGTTTTATATAAGGACGGCCTGCTGTTTGTATAAGTACAGCCTGCTGTTTTGTATAAGTATGGCCTGCTGTTTTATATAAGTACGGCCTGCTGTTTGTATAAGTATGGTCTGCTGTTTTTTATAAGGACGGCCTGCTGTTTTGTATAAATATGGCCTGCTATTTGATACATGTATTTCAATTATTTGTAGGTGTCGTGTAAGTACGGCCTGCTGTTTGTGATAACGAAGTATGGCTACCTTTATTTGTGTGACATGGAAACGGCCGCCTGTCTCTGTTGTACACGTGTCTCCCTCAACGTTATCTTCACCTCCACCCTAAACACGGACTCCCAGGGCATCGTAGGCGTGACCAGAGGAGGCCAGGTACTGAAACATCAGCCCCACCCCCCACACCTTGCCTCATATGAGGATTGTCTTAGGGAGCTGGGTGTTAAGCTAAACCTCAGCAATCAGCTTCTTTATGTTAAACAGTTCAAGTTGTATCATAAGCAGAGGCCATCTTATCAAATCACGAGCAGGCAGAGTGCATTGTACCAGGAATAAGTCCTCATTGCTGTATACTGGGAAATTTTCATTGCAGTTTAATTTTCACCTTTTTCCCCCTCCGTAATGAGGGCAAATTTATCATTACAGTGAACATAAGTTACCAACATAGTAGACATAGTTATTCAATGTGACAACAAATTAACACTGGGGGAATATGGATTATTCTTGCAAAGAACAAAAGTTTGACTGGGCGAACATTTCCCGGTATACTCTATGTTTTAGATCTCTGTTCTCTGAGCGGAGGCCGTCTTATCAATTTACTCGCCATAATGAGGGTGAATTTATCATTACAGTGATCATAAATAAACAACATAATATGTTTAGTGATTCAATGTGAAGGGCGAGATTAACACTGGGCAATTGGTTTGGTTTAGTATTGTTTAACGTCCTATCAACAGCTATAAAATGGATTATTCTTGCAAAGGACAAAAGTTTGACTGGGCGAACATTTCCCGGTATACAATATGTTTTAGATCTCTGTTCTCTGGACCACAGTGCGTTTCTGTTGTTAACACTTATTTTGGAAAATGAAAAAAACTTGCTGAATATGTTTGCAGTGATAAATTCTGCATTTCTAGTTTTAACTGTGTACTTGTACTTGTGTATGAGGTAAAAAAAATAATTTCCGTTTCCAGATTGTTACCGTGGATATCAAGAAGGATGGCTTCATCAAGTATGTGCGGGACACTGCTAAGAAGACGAACCAGGCTAACCGTCTGGAGAAGGCCATCTCCATACAGATCGACAACGATGGGGACAAACATGTGCCCCAGGACAATAGTACCTCCTCCCACAGACAGAGGGAGCCCAGTGCTCACTCTCTACGGGACGCCAACAGCAATATACCTGACTGACAGTAATAGTGACATCATAAACTTGACCTCTGTTGTCATGGTAACCCTTGGATGCAGGCATTACCTCTGTTGTTATTGCCGTGTCTGTCACCAAATATATCTCCTGTATTTGACATAATAAGGGTGCCAAAGGGATTTTAATATTTGAATGCTTGTTTTAAAATACCAGATTTGTGTATGGTTCCGATTTTATAGTTTCTGAAAATCACCTGGTTTGTTTTGTTAGTTAGACAACTTCTGTCAAAAAAGTAGCTGGTATAAGTGTATTATACTTCAAGCTGCCATGGACATGGATCATCATCTGTTGATAGTGACCAATGCAAACTTTCAGAATAATATTCTGCTTTAGTAACGGGGTATTTAGCCTTTGACAGGGATAAAGAGACCTTTGTGTCTTTGTCACAGTGGGAAAATAATCTGAATAAGAGATCTATTGTAATAGGAAAAACATGTCTAAATAAAGGTGCCCTACCTGTAATTTACCCATACAAAGTGGCCTTATTATGTCAAATGTGGTAATTGCATTTGGGTATTCACTTTACTATAATACTGTACAAGATACTATTTAGCTATGGATGTAAACTGACTTTTGACCTTTTGACCTTTGAACTCTGTTAGAGGATCAATAGTACCATTCAACTCCAATTATTGTGTTGGTCGCTGAATATGCAGGCGACCTATTGTTACTATGGTTACTGCGCACCGACCTGGTGCCATCTTTGTCAGACGGTGGATACCATGGTGACCTCTGACCTTGACCTTTATACAAATTCTAGTCAGCAGAACTCATGGTGACATGTCAGTATTTTGTGCAGCATTTCTACGTTTAAAAATGTTTCATAAGATTTTCATTGATTCGATCTGCTTTAAATTTTTCATTTGATCTCGCCAGCACTTGTCAATATCATCAAGGTAATCAATTTCATGTACAGATCGTTTATAACCTATCAATCATGTGTCACAAAAGTCTCATTCATGATACACAAGAAAACATGTTTAACTGCCATAACTATGACCCATTAGTAATAGTATACTGTCTACTGGGAAAATTTAGCTGCAGTTTAATTTTTCGCCTTTTGTCGCCCATCGTAATGTGGGCTAATTCATCACTAGAGCAAACTTCAGTAAACTACATAATATGCATTAACAATGGGCAAATATGGATCATTCTGGCGAAGGGCGAAAGTTTGACTGGGCGAACATTTTGCGGTATTCTGAGTAAGCGATTCATTAATTCATTTGACAACCCTTCACCTAAGCAGTATTAAGGTCCTTTTATTACTTATCATTTCATTAGATTTGGACTTAATTTAGTTAATACACATATGCTGTTGTCTGTTTCTATTTTGTCTCTAATTTTCTCTCTCTCGTTACTTCCAATGTCTCATGCAATGATAAGAAAGGAAAGATACTTTTTGTAAAAAGATCTTATCGTACAAAAACGTGTTAAGATCGTAATGATAGTCTAGCTACATTAAAAGTTGAAAGTAGGTCTATTGTGGTTGCCGTGACAAAGTTTGTTTGTTTTAGGAAATTTTATGTCAAAGTCTACAGTACATGTATGTAGCTTGCTACACTGAATACCATGTTCTCTACAATAGCACATAGTGTACCATTGTATACAATATCACATTGTATTGTATTGTACCATTGTATACAATACCACAAAGTATACCATTGTATACAAAAGCACATTGTATACAACTGTATACAATATATGTACCACATTGTATTGTATTGTACCATTATATACAATACCACACTGTATTGTATTGTATCATTGTATACAATACCACATTGTATTGTATTGTACCATTGTATACAATACAACAAAGTATACCATTGTATACAAAAGCACATTGTATACAACTGTATACAATATATGTACCACATTGTATTGTATTGTACCATTGTATGCAATACCACATAGTATACCAATGTATACAATATTACATTGTATTATATTGTACATTGTATACAATATCACATTGCATTGTACATTGTATACAATACCACATATTATACAATACCACATTGTATTGTATTGTACCATTGTATGCAATACCACATAGTATACCAATGTATACAATATCACATTGTATTATATTGTACATTGTATACAATATCACATTGTATTGTACATTGTATACAATACCACATAGTATACAATACCACATTGTATTGTACATTGTATACAATACCACATTGTATACAATACCACATTGTATACAATATCACATTGCATTGTACATTGTATATAATACCACATATTATACAATACCACATTGTATTGTATTGTACCATTGTATGCAATACCACATAGTATACCAATGTATACAATATCACATTGTATTATATTGTACATTGTATACAATATCACATTGTATTGTACATTGTATACAATACCACATAGTATACAATACCACATTGTATTGTACATTGTATACAATACCACATTGTATACAATACCACATTGTATACAATATCACATTGTATTGTACATTGTATACACTCGGCATCAGTTCTGCGCTATCACAAGGAGACAAACACGAACATATCGCAGCCTCCCAAAATACACACACATACACTACACGCATGCATCTTGCACACAGGGGAGGCCGTCCTTAAATGACCTTAGCTGTTAATAGGACGTTAAATAAAATCAATCAAACAAACAAACAAAATGTATACAATACCACATTGTTTACAATACCACATTGTATACAATATCACATAGTATACAATACCACATTGTATTGTACATTGTATACAATACCACATTGTATACAATACCACATTGTATACAATCAAACAAACAAACAAACAAAATGTATACAATACCACGTTGTATACAATACCACATTATATACAATACCACATAGTATACCAGTGTATACAATATCACATTGTATTGTATTGTACCATTGTATACAATACCACATAGTATACCATTGTATACAATATTACATTGTATAATATATTGTACATTGTATACAATACCACATAGTATACCATTGTATACAATATCACATTGTATAATATATTGTACATTGTATACAATATCACATTGTATTGTATTGTACCATTGTATACAATATCACATTGTATTGTATTGTACATTGTATACAAGACCACATAGTATACCATTGTATACAATATCACATTGTATAATATATTGTACATTGTATACAATACCACATTGTATGCAGTATACAATGGAACCTTGTAAATCCAGTTTCGTGTGAAAATCCAAGAATCCAGATGATAGAGATTTTGGCATAGTATTTTGTCTCCCTATATGATTAATTGTTGTTTATAAGTTTTTATACATTTGACTTAAATCCAAAAGTGTGACCCATTTTGGGAAACAGACAAGTTAGAAAATACAGATATGACTAATTGTTACATAATTCCACCAGGAATTGATATAGTCTGGTTTCTGTGCCGAAGTTCTGTACAACCTGCAGAGGTTTTGTGTAATGGCAGAATGGTTTCATGCTGGTCCCTTTCTCCTTGTCGAGTTCACCATTTTTTATCAACAGAATCTTGCCAGTGTTCCTGTCTCAAGCCTGAGTTTTTAAATGCTATTTCAGCTTTATTGGATTGTTCCTAAACTTGAGCAATTTGCTTTCTCTGTGGGGAAGTTTTAAAGGAAATAATCTTAGTTATGATACATATTTTGAAAAGTGAAATCATGAGTTTACCGGTAATATATATGATATGACTACTTTTGCTATTTAAAATCCCCATAAGAAAAGTGTGCATTCAGGATTCTATTTAATCAGTTATGGGTGCTCAAAACAATGGTTTTATGAGTGTGCCAGTCTGTTTTCCGACATTGAATCTAGCTTACATGTAGTTACCCAAGGCCACCAATGGGAGATCACCCAACATTCACTCTGAAAAGTCGTGCTCTGTAATGGACTTTATAAATATCTATAGTATGAAATGTTCAGAGAAAAATACCAAACATTTGCTTATAGCTCTATTGGATCCACAGGGTTAAGTGAATGCAGTTAAATTGGTGTATTATGTAGTGCGGTAGACACTTACAATTTCGCATTATGTAAGCATTATTCATGGCAATAACGATTAATATAATACAAGTAGAATTATGCGGTATATCGATGGCTTTATGAAGAGTTTGTTTGATATTTGTAATAATACCAGTAAAATTATATCCAGGGCTTTTAACTCATTCACCCCTGAAGAAACATTTGAACTCTTTTAATTCAAAGGTTGGAATAGTTCATATAAAATTTCAGGGGTGAATGAGTTAAGAGCATATTTGATATTCATATTTGCTGTAAACAATTTTTTTATAAGCAAGGAAAAATTTTGAACGAATGAGTAGAATTTATTATAGTAAAAGTATTTCGCTTGATTTAAACTCTGCATATTTACCGATGCACAGAAGTTAAATTTTAGTTTTATAAAGAAGAAAATGTCGCTGCTATAATAAAATGTCTGTTGCTCACTGTTATTGTTAATTTGTGGAGCTACATCGAATACATGTTTTTATGGTTTTACCCTTTATGTTTTACATAAGGCATTTAGGGTTTGAGCCCACTGCCAACACTGATATATATCCTTGTGCCAAATGTTACGATACATATATATATACCAGTGGCTGGACACCGATTTATAATGACCATACTGTACATGTCAATAGGTTATTCCTCGAAGGCAGGAACATTTTGAAAACATGAAAATCCGAAGTAAGATATATGAGTAGGTTTTGTATTATCTAAAACATATATCCGGCCCCTGTGTACAAAATGCATACATTGTAGCTTTAATACTGTATACCGTGAAATTTTCGCCGCTGTTCAACTTTTATCTTTTTTTCGACGTTCGTAATGAGGGCGAATTTATCACAATAGCGAAAATAAGTACACAGCATACTTTATAGAAATAACATATGTCAAGGGTGAAATTAACACTGCACAAAATCCGATTCTATCGCTTAAGGAGCGAAAATTTGATCCGGAGAGAATGTTTCACGGCGTACAGTAATGCAGTATTAATGGCAGGCTCGTTTTAATACCGATCGCAATGTTTATGCGACTACTTTTATTTTAATGGTATTTCAAATATTTTGTTATATGCAGTGTTATGCTTGTTGAATTTAGAAACGTTGTTATCGTGTCATTTCGGTATCCTATATATAGAAATGTTGATATGAAGTCACAAGATGTTAAGCTAATGTCATTGTATGTACCATGGTGGATGAGTGGGTTTACAGGATAGTGGCACCAAAGGAACCCAGACTCTGATAATCTGAAACATTTCCTTTTCTATCTCCATTACTGGTATATAGCTACTCAGGTTTGTTTTGAAATCATGAAAACAGAATTTATTCTTGATTTAGAATAAAATTTGATGGATTTTATCATACTTTTGTAGAGATTTTACTATACTTAAGTACATACACTCTCTAAATAGACCACCTGTGTTAAGAGACAACTTTTAACGTTTCACCATTGTACGGATTTCTTTGGGAACTGAACGTCGTAAAAGACAATTTTTTGGTATGTTGATACAGGTTACATTCTATTACACAGTATCTCTGATCACAGTCAGATTTTCTGTTTTATATTTCGTGGTTTGTTTGTTTGAGGTTTTATCCATAACAAGAGTTTTGCCTAGTTTACGTAGTAGTGGTAGTGTACATTTAATAAAAATCTTTGTAAATAAATTAACGCATTCACCCCTGAACTTTCATAATGAACTATTCCTGTGAAAGTGTTAAGGGGGGGTCATTTCAGTGTTAAGGGGTGTCTAGAGAAGGGGACATTTCATTGGAGACCAACATAAAGATGTTGGTTAATCTACAGTTGCACAAGGTTCCGCATTCTTAAGTTCTAAAGCCAATTATGAGGCCTGATTCTCCTCTTTTAAATTATTAACAATAAACTTCGTCTTTTCATGTATGTCCATGGCATATACCACCAAGGGAGAGCACTTATATAGGCTTTAACCCCTAAAGTCACATTTGAACCTTACCAAATAAAAAACTGGGCAAGTCCAGTTTAGATATGTGGGGGGTGAATGAGTTGAGGCTGTTGTCATTTCCTTTTGACATGCTACCATTCTATTTTCAATCAAATTGGTTGAAATTGATCTGGATATCAAATGTTACTTGTGGCTATTTTCTATGGATTTATTGTATTAGGTAAAATTGCATCTTTGGGATTTAGCTTAATCTATTTTTACTGCATGCTAAATCCTGTGTTGTTATGAAATGAAAAATGTTCTAGATTTATTTTTGCACAGATATGACACAAATGTATCTTTCAGTAGAAATAATCCAGTAGTAATACATGTATTAAGTCTTATGTAGAGGATTATTTTCTGTAGCGGACTTGAATTTTTTCAGAAATATCTCAAGATATCTCTTCGTTGAGCAGGCAATAGATTTTGGTTTCTACCTCTGCAGCATTTTGCTAGTGCCTTCAAATATAAAGGCAGCTTGTCGCCTTCATATTGGGGATACTTATATTCTGTCAGAGGCTAACATCATCAATAGGGGTGTCACAATACACCTAGAGTGTATCACAATATATTTCAATACAGAATGAATATATTGCGATACGTATCTCAATATATTGTCATAAGAAAAAGGCGGTACTCAATTTAAAAAGAAATTGTTGTCAGAATGTTAGCAAACTTAATCGTGTATAAATATGGGTTACACAGATTTCAGATTTTTGTCAAAGCAACCATCGATTACGAAAATTAAACTTGATTCCCAACACAAGTGTTAACTCATTCACCCCCGAAGACACATTTAAACTCTTCCAAATCAAAGGTTGGAATAGTTCATTATGAAATTTCAGGGGTGAATGAGTTAATACAGCAAGCAGATACATAGAAATAAGCTTTTGAAAAATATTGCGATACATTGATATTTTATCTCTGTATTGCGAACGATACAATATGCCCGTGTATTGCAATTTACCGGTTTTCCAATATGTCGTGAAGCCCTAATCGTGGACACCTGTACCTAATACAACACTTTATAATTAACTAACATTAAAAACTTGTTATAAAGGAATCCCATGAAACAGAGTTTGCTATGTTGTGTTTGTTGTAAACATATTTCACTGTAACAGACACATACTCCCAGGGTATAGCCATACATTACTGACTTGATAGGAATTAAGGGAAGGCAAACTGAAAATCTAGATAATTCTGATGGTCAGGTCTCAAGTCATAAAGAGCTTGTTACGGGGTCAGGTCTCAAGTCATAAAGAGCTTATAATTGTTACGGGGGCAGGTCTCAATTCACAAAGAGCTTGTTACGGAGTCAGGTCACAAGTCATAAAGAGCTTGTTACGGGGTCAGATCTCAAATCATAAAGAGCTTGTTACAGGGTCAGGTCTCAAGTCATAAAGAGCTTGTTATGGGGTTAGGTCTCAAGTCATTAAGAGCTTGTTATGGGGTCAGGTCTCAAGTCATAAAGAGCTTGTTATGGGGTCAGGTCTCAAGTCATTAAGAGCTTGTTATGGGGTCAGGTCTCGAGTCATAAAGAGCTTGTTACGGGGTTAGGGCTCAAGTCATTAAGAGCTTGTTATGGGGTCAGGTCTCAAGTCATAAAGAGCTTGTTACGGGGGCAGGTCACAAGTCATAAAGAGCTTGTTATGGGGTCAGGTCTCAAGTCATTAAGAGCTTGTTACATGGTCAGGTCTTAAGTCATAAAGAGCTTGTTACAGGGTCGGGTCTCAAGTCATTAAGAGCTTGTTACAGGGTCAGGTCTCAACTCATAAAGAGCTTGTTACGGGGTCAGGTCTCAAGTCATAAAGAGCTTGTTACGGGGTCAGGTCTCAAGTCATAAAGAGCTTGTTACGGGGTCAGGTATCAGGTCATAAAGAGCATGAATTCTTGAAAGAGTTGCCACTGGATTTATGTTCTAAAATTTGACTTTCTATGCAATAATTTATGACCTTCAGATATGACCTTCATCATCTGTTACGAATGGGGTGGGCTTATCACTGAACATGGGCTTATTACAGGTAAAAATAAAATGCAGTACTTCCTATATTTATTAATTGTTTTTATCCACCAAGGTCCTAAGTGCTAAAGAGTTTAAGTAGTTTGTGTATTGATTTCATAAATTATAATGTTGAACCTAAGTGCTTGCTTTAAATATCATTTGGATATACATGTATATATTGTATGTGTCATTTGTTCCTTTTTTTTAAATTACACAAACATCTTGATATCCTTTTTAAATGTTCATGCTAGACATGTTTTGAGTTAGTATATTGTACATTTTAGCATAATAAATGAGAACTCATTTATAATAATGTCCGTTGATATATATTTGTCTCGACATCTTACGATATTAAATGTACTGTATGGTTGTCCATTTTACTATCGAGGCCATAAGCTCTGTTAGCTTTTATATATAAACTTAAGTTATATATATACAATATCCTATAGCTTGTTTAAAGAGTTATAGAACTTATATATACACAAGCTACTGTGTATAATGAACAGGGTTTCTTTAAAGAAGATATTTTTCATCTAATATTCCTTGAATCTTATTAATTCTTGAATCTTAAGATTTTCTTGATCAATACTGTGTATGATTGTACCAGGGATTTTTTTCGCTGCACTTTGATTTTCGTCCTTTTAGCTCTCCACAATGAGGGCGAATATATATCACGACAGTGAATATTAGTACACAGCACACCCTATAAGGTAGTGACGGGCAGAATATACACTGGGCGAATTTGAAGAAGAGGAAGGGAGATCACTCTGTGTCAAGATGTGGCCGGCTCATTTGATGATAGGGAAGGCAGGATTTTTTAATCCTTTGTTTTTGGGCTACAAAGATGGGTATGGGTATTGAATATGCATACTAAAGTTATGGTAATTATTACTGAAATGTAAATGGATTTTACCTGTGAATGGCGAATAATTGACTGGGTGAGAGATTCCTGGTATGCCGTAATAGATTTGTAGGTGTCATAATTAACTGATTTCTGCAGCAAGCTTGATTGATATGCTTTTATCAAACTGAATGGATCTCCAAAACTTGTTCATTTTATTTACATGACATAAATAACAAGGTAACTAGATGTCTCGTGCTTAGAACGAAAAAAAAGTGCTTTATATTTTAGTAATTGTAATATAATTTTTGCTATGTTAAGATATTTATTGATATGTTCTATAGTTATTTTTCATTTAGATTATTAACACCGTGTGATATTTATATTATTTTAATATAATTGTTATTTAGTTTCTAGGTGTAACCTCAATGTCATTTAGAGAACTTAAGTATATGTTCTGTGTATTATCAAGGTTCTGTATCACTTTCCATTTATTATTTTTTGTCTGACTATAAATTCTGTCCATGTCCATGATATCAGGAGATACATTTTCAATATGATTTCTACAAAGGGCTACAAATACCCAAAATTCATTACTTGGTCTGGAAGCTGGGGCCGCAGTGGCCAAGTGGTTAAGGCGTCTGACATTCTGCTACCATTTGCCCCTCCACCACAGGTTCAAGGCCCACATGGGGCAATACACAGGTACTGGCCTCTGGTTGGTAGTTTTTCTCCGGGTACAGTATGTACTTCGGCTTTCCTCCACCACCAAAACCTGGCGCGTCCTTAAATGACCATGGCTGTTATTAGGACGTAATTAACACAAACAAACCAAACCAAAGTCTGGATACTGTGGGCCCTGGTTACCGTTATTATCACACCTTGAAACAGAAGAATTACCTAGGACATTGACAGTACCACCTATAAATCGTGTTTTGCATCATGACAACAAATATTAGTGTTAAGCGTACTATACATACCATAATGTAACGTTTTCTGGTCGTCACATACATCAATAGGTCCTTGATGGTCTGCTCAACAACAAGAAAACAATTAATTGTCTCAAATTGATCTTTTATTAATATTTCTAGGTTGGCTTATTCAAATCATATAAGTAAATTAAAGTGTATTGGTAAATCACCAGTGACCATGGTGTAGACCTAGACCTGCCACCAACCAGACCACACTGATGAGAACTTGGTACTTGGTACCACTTGGTGCTGACACCTGGTAGCTACCAAGTACCAGATAAACCCTCTACCAGAGCCACTTGGTACACCTGTACATGTAGACTTAAACAAAGCAATCAACCACACCCTAATCCAGGGTTCTGGGTGGTGGCTAGTCCGAATTATTCCGACGTTTTATCGACTTTTTTTATATCGGTCTGTCGTCGAAAAAGAGACGATAAAACGTCAGAATAGTTCGGACTAGGCGGTGGCCTGACTCCAACCAATGGTCACTGGTAGCTAAAACTGCAGTGACATATACCATTATTTTTGGCTTGTGTCATGGAGGTTGTTTTGATGTTTTGTCTCTGTTCTCCTTCTCTAACTGCCTGTCAGGTAGCACACCAGCAGGTATATAGGTACACTACTAAGTAATGTCAAAGGTCATGCCCGCACTCGCGCATGACTACACACACACGCACATAGGCAGGTGCCCTATTCACCCGAGTACCCATTCACAGGTAACACTGGGTATTCAGTGTGGAATCTTAAGTTATAACACATTAGTAATAACAATTGTATATACATGTAAACATTATTATCAGTTTTAATCACCATATTTATCCTGCAATAAGCCCAGTCAGGGACAACACATCACCTCTGACTCAAAATAATGGGGGCTAGGTTTTTACAAGACAGTAAAATAGCATTTATTGGCACCTCTGACTTGAAATAATTATATAATGGGGGCTAGGTTTTCACAAGACAGTAAAATAGCATTTATTGGCACCTCTGACTCAAAATAATGGGGGCTAGGTTTTTACAAGACAGTAAAATAGCATTTATTGGCACCTCTGACTCGAAATAATGGGGGCTAGGTTTTTACAAGACATTAAAATAGCATTTATTGGCACCTCTGACTCGAAATAATGGGGGCTAGGTTTTTACAAGACAGTAAAATAGCATTTATTGAAATTTCTATTGAACTGTAATAGATATGATGGATGGGCTTATTACCAAGCATGGGCTTATTGCCGGATAATTATTGTATTATTTCCACTGAGAAAGCAAAATTTACACTGCAGAATTGATGTGGAAAGTTGCAGGGTATACATCACTGACTAAAAATTACTATGTTGTCACAGTGTATTCGAATTGAAATACACATATAATGATCATTTGAAAATAAATGCATCAAATATTTACATGAAAAATGTACCTGTTGCAATGTTCCACGACCAACTGGTCTCTTTCTCAATAAAGATATCCTGAGTGGTCATACAATATATATTGTAACCATTTAATTTTACACCAATCATGGCAAATAGGTTACTAAATTGGTGTATTATATCTAGCCTCCTCTCCCATTATTGGCTAATGGTGTATAGACACTCTTTCAGTATGTGAAGCGAAAATACATGTATTCCAATTACATTAGAATGTTCTTTTAAGCTGTTTGTCATCCCTGATATCATGGTTTGTACTTTATGTATGTGTATCTATCATTTTTGTTAAAGATGTAAAGCAAAATTTACAGCCACAATAAAACTTTACCAGAAAATCATGCTTTATTTTATATTTCACTGACAGGTGCGGGAATGAGTATAGGGCTATAGGATTACCTGTCTTGTCTGTTATTGTAAAGTACAATTGTAACAGGAAGGGGAATATGCACAGCTAGACCGGGGTTCGAACCCAGTACCCTCCCTACTCTAGACAGACGCTCTAACCAATTGAGCTACCCGATTGCCAGCGATCGACCCTAGTCCAGTTCTGCTGCACTATAATACCTACGACAGATTCATGATTTATTGTCCTAGTACAGAAATTGAGGTCATTTACTTAGTCTTCTAAGACTGACCATATATACATGCAGGCTCCAAAATTCTGATCAGTCACTTGTTTATGGTCCATAAACGAGCGATTACGGTCAGTTTAGCAGGCAAACTGTTACTATATATAGGAATGGTTTGTCATCACTCAGACATTGTCATTTTCAATCAGATTTGGATGTACCTTCACACAAGTTTTCCTTACTAAAATACCAATCTGTTCAAAACCATATCTTTATTCCAATCCAGTACTCTATGTTCCATCAAAGTCAATAATAAAAAAGATCTGGTTTTAATCAGATTGATAAGTCCCTTTTCAAGGCTCCAAAATGTCAAGGTCACTAATCTATAAATAGAAAATATGTCTTTGTACCTCAAACAAGTTCACATATCGGGGTCTATTGCAAAGGTAAAAGTCACAGTTACCATAAATAGAGTTTGATAAATTCTTCTTGACATGAGGTTAATAATATTTTACCACCTGAATCTAATTAAAACAGGATTCTGATTTCCTATCATACACTGCATATTCCGTCTTTTAGTATTGCAGAGTTATCTGCTCTTGTGAACAGGTATTGATTGTTACGTCATTAGTTTGTGTGCAAAAATTACGTCATTTTCTCAAAAATGTATGACATTACTCTCAAAAACAAATGACGTAACGATCAATACCTGCTCACAAGAGCAGATACCTCTGCAATACGAAAATATGGAATAAGGTTTGTAATCAAATATTCTTAACCCTTTCACCCCTATGTAACTTTAGTAGACTCTACCATGCATTGATCTGGATGAGTCCATTTTGGTCTACAGTGGTAAAAGGGTTAAAACGTCTGTTCTCTTCATCATTTGTTACATTATGCTCTAAAATAGTTTCTCACAAATAATAAACCATTTGCAGTATGATATCAATTTGTTTTATTTACAAAATATGTGTAGATTTTTTTTTATACAAAATGAAATCAATGTACATGATAATTTAGAGGCAGTTTATTCACAGGGGACGGCGACAGGACGATAACAGTGAGGGTTATTTCTGTAAGGTAAATTGTTCGATGAATTCCTTTTGTTCTCTCTCTTCCTTCAAAAGGGCTTCATACTGAATCCGCAACCTGAAAAAATAAAACAATAATCAAGACTTACTGTATAGTTGCTAATATTCATGAGGGTTTTAATTTCGCTAATTTCGCAAAAGCATCAAAATTCGCGAAATTTTGTACCTCGTTAATGTTTAGATCGTGACCAGATGTCGAACATCCATGTTTCACACATAAGTATTGTTTGTTGAGGTGAGACTTGTAAGTCTACGACAGGCCTATATAATTGAATTTAATTACCAATCGGAACTTTTTGGAGGTGCTTGGAAATAGACTTACAGAAATCATACTTGCCAACCCTCCCTATTTAGGAGGGATACTACCGATTTTGGACCCTTAAATTTAGCATTTTCAACCAGTGAATTTGCTAAACTATGCCTATATTCTAAGATCTAATCATTTCATCTGAAAGAACAATTAAAAATATGTCTATTAATGGGTTATTTTCTCTCTAGGAGGTATATACACGTTTTATTTAGGTTTTAATTTTGAGAATGCAGAATCACCCCCATTGAAATTTCAAAAAGTTGGCAAGTATGAGAAATTGTGAATAAACCCCCGCAAATAAGTTCGGAAAACAAAATCGAGAAATTTTACACCCGCTGAATTAAACAACTATACAATAGGTTTCGTTTAAAAATCATCTAGAACCCGAAAGTGCCTACAATTTTATACAATGTTGTCTATTAGTCTATCATGAGCTTTTCTTGAACAGCATTTCAATTTTATACAATGTTGTCTATTAGTCTATCATGAGCTTTTCTTGAACAGCATTTTCTTTAATAACTAAAAGGCCTTGCCAGCTAGGGTCATGATGATTTGCTTGTAGCTTTATTGGTTGAATGGTAATCAAATATATTAAGTTTCCAATAAAATGACCATGATCCTTTCTACATAGCCTGCTGCAGTGAAAGCAGAAGAACTATCAAATTTTGTAAAAAAAGAAACACCTTGACCCACATAAATGGTTAATGTATGAGTCATACAAGTTAAAATCTTAATTTCTTTTAACAAACCATGAAACCTACACAAGAAGTAATAATATTTAAGCCTGTAGCTTAAAATAAACTTATTTCAGCTTTTTTTTTCATTTACAGTATGATGTAGAGCGATACACAATTGTTGAAATTAAATTTGAAAACAAGTTTTACAACTCCAGATCCAGCTCCAGTAAGCAAGCCTGTACCTACTCCAACAGTGTTAGAGGTCAACACGGCGAGATACATTTGACAGACGTCGGCAAAATGATATCCAAAAGACCTTGTCCCTGGTTTCACTCTGACATATAGGCTCAGAATTGTAAAGTTTATACCAACAGTTTTCACAATTTTAAATCAGAAACTTATCCTTCAGTAACAATTGACAAGTAATGTCAACATTCTACATTTGTTGACTGGGTTTGAGGACAACATGTGTTATGTTGAACCAGAGGACCAAACTGTTGCCGAAGGCCGTAGGCAACAGTTTGGTCCGAGGGTTCAACATAACACATGTTGTCCTCGAACCCAGTCAACAAATGTTTTGTTACACCTTCTATCATTGATTTCTACGAAAAACAAACCATTCATTAAGTATATATATTTATCTTGAAAAAAAAACCGTGCTTATGCGTTCTACTTCGCTTCAATATACTCTGTTATTAATTTCTCTGCAACTCTGATCACATTCTTGGTGTTTGTACTGTCTCTGTTATTAAGAATTTCATCAATTTCTGACGCAGTGTATTCCGCAAATCTGTCCATGATTGTACATAAGGCAGCTGACATACGTAAACATTGCAGACGGCCGGAAGCAGGCGTGAGCAATACTTCCTATAGAGAGGCCACTATTGGTAATTGCTTAACGGCAGAAGTTGCCGAGAAATGGCCGGGAAGTACCAAAAAGTATAATGAGCTGAGACGTAAGCAGTCAACATTCCGCTCTCTGCCAGTCAACATTTTTCTAAGGCAAACATCTGGAATTTCGAAAATTTTCACTGTAGAAGAGTATAGAGAATAAAAAGTAACATAAAAGTATAACATATACAAAATTTACTGTCCAACCAACAAATGGGAGATAACTCCTGTCAAACAAATCTTGACAACAAAATTATTTATTGCAACACATGTGGGGTGAATAATAAACTCAAGCAGGACAACTTTATTCAAAATTGGAACATTATCACATTTTAGCTGCTTAAATATCAACTATCTTAATTACCTTTCCAGTTGCATTTTCTTTTCTGACGTCAATGCTTGCAGTTGTTGCTGTTGAGATTCTCTTTGTTTCGCTATTGATTTTAATAAATTCCTGGAACCAATGGCCTGGTGAGAAAAACAATACAGTAATAAGATTCCTGTATAACATATATACACACAAAAAATATACAATGATGTCCCGCGTACAGTCTGTAATTGAAGTTGCCCAACTCCCAAGGTGAGTAGATGTGATGTTGGGAATAGTGAAAAATTCAATATTTAGTTAATATTTACCTCTTAAATATGGGTCTGACAGCTGGATAGTAAACTTTTTAAATCAACCTACAGGCTAGCTAGTTCTCTATAAATGAAAATGTAAACCTGTATTTTTTTTTGACACAAAATAATCAGATTTGACTAATAGAAAGTAACTTGTATGATCTTTTTGTTTTAGAAATTCAATACTATTCTTATTCTTATTAGACGTCATCATCCAACTTTAAAAAGAAAATATATTTATTACCTTCATTTTTTCTTTTTCCACCTCCTTTGAAACATTATCTACAACCTCGATAAAGGTCCCAACAATCTTCTGAAAATCGCCAATTTCTGGAAAACAAAACAAATTCTTGATTACATGTATGTAATATCCAGTCTTTATCCATTAAGTTTCATGAAATTTCATTGAGGAATGAAGTCAAAAGAGTGATGACCAAGTTTTTCTAAAAATAGTTACAGTGACCTTGACTTTCAACGTAGAAACCAAAAACACGAACTTGTTAAAGGTATTGTCATACTACACACTTGTATGAAGTTTCATGAAATTCTGTTGAGGAATGAATTCGATACAGATTAAGTCGATAGAGCGATGACAAAGTTTGTCTAAAAATAGTCAAATTGGCCTTGACCTTTAATGCAGTAACCTGAAATGCAACTTGTTCAAGACGATATTGTGTTACCAAACACTTGTATGATGTTTCATGAAATTTTGTTGTGGAATGAAGTCGGTGGAACGATGAACGAAGTTTTTCTAAAAATAGTTACAGTGACCTTGACCTTCAACGAAGAAACCCGAAACGCAAACTTGTTCAGGTATTGTCATACTACACACTTGTATGAAGTTTCATAAAATTCTGTTGAGGAATGACAAAGAGTGTATCATACGTACAGGTGGAATCCTATATCCCCTCGAACTTTCGTTGCAAAGGGATAATTAATAAATACCTTATGTGATAAATTAACATCTGTACTTCACTTTAATCGGATTGATTTAAATTAAATTTTGACTTGGAGATGTTACTGGATAAATACTTGTTGTATTTCAGTAAATGAGGGGTGAATACAAGTACATTTCAAAGCCAATCAGATTTCATGATGAGAGGCCGAATATTTTAAATATATACATGTAAATACAAGCCTAGAGTTCTAGATTTGGCTCCAAACATGAGCAGCTTTTGATGCGCTCGTATAACAAACCTGGTGAGTTGTTCCAATAAAACACTTATATCATCAAAATTAATGAATGAAGTAATTTATATATATATATAAATATGTATAACCACAATTTAAAGACTGAAGATAAATGGAGAAATCTGCCAGACGGTACCTGGCACCTTCAAAGAAGTCAACAAGCTGATGAGCTTAAATTGTATTGCTTAAACAGCTATCAAACTTTATTAAATTCATATGTTTCATATCTCGAACAAATAAAAAAAAACACCACATGTACACTAAAATGCAAATACTGGAGGACCCTCCTCCAAGGAGAACCCACAATATTGAAGTGATAACACAGACCTTCCTGACCCCCCCTCCCCTCCACACACAAATCCTTAAGCCTGCTTTTCAACAGATGAAGGAAACCATAGAAACACAGAGAGAGCCAGCGTGTCACCGGACAGATACACAGGACATATTCGTTTGCGACAAACTGTTAGTCGTGTATCAATGAACAACATATAGTCAAAAGCGTAAGACCAACGCATCACCTAGACTCATGATGAAATGTTGCTACTTCTTAACTACAGGACATTAGTCCTACTGTCACTGTCAATTGGTATATATATATTAAAGAAGGAATTCCATGTAAACCATACAAAAACTTCATATTATTTCACATCTGTCAAAAAGACATCATTAAATAACATAAAAACATCATCATATATCCGATAGGTTTATAGATGGCACGGTCTAATAGATGTATTGCTAGACAGATACTAGGCCTACACTAGTAACTGACAGAATGACAAATATAAATGTACTGAAATTGAAACGGAGCTGACGTTGAATTAGATTTTCTTCTCTGTATAAGAATGTGTGCACTGCTACTTACTATCAACAAAATCTTTACATTCTTCTTTTAACTCTAACGTTTGCTGTTGAGTTTCAGGTTCAAGAACTCGTATTTTATTCAGCTCATCAAAGTGAAGTCCCGCCCGAGCTAATGCTTCGTCTGCCATTTTACAACAAATGGAATGTCAAGGGAGTCTGCGTAGCAATGACGCTCAATGTGACAGGGTAATTCCCTACAAACGCTCATGAGACTAAGCGTAGTTGTTGCCGTTGCACAGTTTCGTAAACAATTTCAAATATAAATATTGGTAAAACACACGAATAAATAGATATCATATCAAATTCAAAACAAACATAACAATTTCCAAATTAGACCGCATAGAGAAGCATTAGAGTTTTACATTTTTCATCAAAATTATATGTGAGATTCGTACTTTTTCTAGCTTTGCATTAAATGGGTGGGTGTTTACGTCATAATTTTTCTCGTACTTTAAAGCAAAGTTCTATATTTAGACGCGGGTATAAATAGAATTATCAACTAATGTTCGTCACAAATGTAATTCGACGTCTTGGTAGACACTTCAGATGAAGCCAGCATGAGTAATAGTGTTTTTGACTTGGTATAAACGGTAAGAAACATCGTCTGGGATACAGTTCCTCCGGTCTTCATTTCATCCTCTGGGTTGATCTCAACCCCCTCCCTCCGACTCAATGATGTCTGGGGAGACGAAGACTGTGATCAAGGGAAACTCCTCCAAGTATGTGAAGCTAAACGTAGGGGGTACCCTCCACTACACCACCATTGGAACCCTTACCAAGCAGGACACCATGCTCAGAGCCATGTTCAGTGGCAGGATGGAAGTCCTCACAGATTCAGAAGGTAGCCATTTATGCAAAACCCATTGAACACCACTCGCCCAATAAATATACTTTCCTGGTATAGAATTATTTTCTATGTTTTGAAAATTCATTGGGATTAAGTTCTCCTTCAGACTGAGTACCTTTTGGTTGAGTTGATATAGGCCGCCTATGCATGTGTAACAGGTAAAAAAAAATGCACAGCCAGATTGGATTAAACCTGAGATCCTCTGAACTCGACAGATGCTCGATCTACAACTTTAAGGAACCTGGTTGCAGATCAAGATGACCAACCCAGTCCGGTCCTGCCACATATCTGTACATAAATATCTTTAAAATATCTATTAATATCTGTAAAATGGCAGTACAGATATCTTTCGCTAGATATCTGTACATAAACAAATTGATCATATTGCAGACTTCAAAATTGTGATGGCTCATTGGTTTTAGATGACAACCTATCCCAATTTGAACCCTGCAGCTATACATGGTCACTTTTAACCTACAGTATAGTCAGCTGTGTGTCTGCAAACTATCTCATATCATATAGCATTATGCAGCAAGATTGCAAAAATAAGTACTTTTGTTGATAGTGTAGTTATATATATATTTTTTTCATTGCAGGATGGATACTTATAGATCGCAGCGGTAAATACTTTGGACAGGTGCTGAATTTTCTGCGGGATGGTACCATTCCTCTGCCGGAGACACGACGAGAGCTAATGGAGCTCCTGGCAGAGGCCAAGTATTACCTGGTTCAAGACCTGGTGGTGCTAGTAGAGGCTGCAGTAAAGAACATGGATCACACTGTGGAGCTTGTGTGTAAGGTCCCACTCATCACCTCACACAAGGAGGAGCAGCTACTGCTCACCACCTCCACTAAGGTACAGTATTGAGGACACCTTTCCTTCTGGTACCCCTACACTTATTCCACAGTTCTTATAATTATCACACATCCAAAAAAGTATCGACAGTATTTTGAGATCATCATTTCCTAGTTTCCATTCACCTAAACAACACATGTGCAGTTCCCAATATCACTATCTCAAAAAGACCTACAGCACTGATGATACCTCTCCTTCTGGCTCCCCTCCGGGCTCCCCTACTACACAGTTCTACTAATAATCTCCAGCGGTGTTCAGTATTGAGGATATCCCTTCCTCTAGCCCTATCAAAACTCCCTTATACCGAAGTTTCCCAACAACCTCAACTAAGGTACAGTATTGAGGATACCACTCTCGCTGTTTCACTAAAGATCAGTATTGAGCCTACTCCTCTCCTTCCCTCAGGTTAAGCTCTCCCTGCACCAGTCCTCAGTTCAACCCACCACCTCCACAAAAGTTCAGTATTGTGGTCATCACTTCAAACTGACCTTCTCTCTTACATCTCAGTTTCACTCACCGCTTAGACTACAACAATACAGTTTTCAAGGCATCCATCCCTCTGACCCCCTCGATTACAAAACAGTTTCACTCAGCCCCTCCACAAAGATATAGTAATGAGGAAAACTCCTTCCCTACACCACAGTTCCCGTCACCAGCACAAAAGCAAAGTACATATTCTGAGGTCACACCCGTTCCCTTGTTTTTATCCCTCAGCCTCTAGGCCACTACACCATGGTTGCATTCCCCATCTCAGCAAAGCTAAGGTATACAATGTAAGCCTAATGTTTGCACCCTGCATATATCCTCTGAATGAAAAATTCTATTTTATGAAACTTTATAGATGTATTATCATTGTTCTCAGCGTTATATATACATGTATATGCAACATCTAATTATCTACCACTGTCAGATTCAAACCAAAGTTCAAGTCATTGTCTAGAGTCAAAGACCAACTATTTTAATTAATCTGGATCAAAACTTTAATTAATTCATTAACTGATGTAGCCCCTCTTTTGTATTACTGAAGGGCTATAGTTAAAGTTTCACATTGTTTGGAGATTACACATACATTCATGTATAACTCCATCACCAACCATTGTCAAATTGTATATGAAAGAACCTCAGATCTTTGAAATCAGATCATGTGCCCTACTATATACAGAGTTATGTCCCTTTGTTCATTTTTAATTTTCAATTTTGTCCTGAGCATAGCTCCCTTGTTATTGCACAAGCACTTGTATTCACCAAACTGGCTTTTTAGGTCACCTGAGCTTTAGCTCAAGTGACCTATTGCTATCCGTTTTCGTCCGTCGTCGTCCGTCGTCCGTTAACATTTTACATTTCAAACTTAAAGTCAAGTTCTGCTGGGCCGATTGAACTGAAAGTTGGTNATAACAACACTGTCATGAATGTCTACATCTTTTGGGCCAGTCATATTTTGAATCATAACTAGAAGTTATATATATATATATAGGGAACATATATTATGCTGCTTCAGATAAATTGCTTAATTTAATAATTGTCTTGATCTTTGCAGCCTGTTGTGAAGCTAATTTGTAACAGACATAATAACAAGTATTCATACACAAGGTAAGTTGGATTTTCATAATCATTCACCCCTGAAATTTCATAATGAACTATTCCAACCCTTGAACTGGAAGAGTTCAAATATGTCTTCAGGGTCAAATGAGTTAAATACTTTTTCACATTAAATTATGTTGATCAGCATTTGTTCCATAATAACTTGAATTTGTTTAAAGGTTTGTTTAATTTTACATACTGATGCCTAGAAACTATCAAATCTTACTCATGGCTAGTACAAATATTCAATATTTAAGAAGATGGACTTGTAGATTTTTTTTCAAGGTTTGTCTGTTAGCTCATATTTTTGATGCTGAAAAAGTGAAAAGAAAATTTTAGAGAATGTAAGATTTCAGCAAAAAAAAATGCATGAATTTCATGACAAAAACAAGAATCATGCATTACTTCAATGGATTCAATGTACTTATTGTTTTCAGCAACTCCGACGATAATTTATTGAAGAATCTGGAACTGTTTGATAAACTGTCTTTACGCTTCAACCGTCGAGTGTTATTTGTGAAAGATGTGATAGGGAGTAATGAGATTTGCTGCTGGTCTTTTTACGGCCACGGATCCAAGATAGCCGAGGTCTGCTGTACATCCATTGTCTACGGCACGGACAAGAAACACACAAAGGTATGTATATATATACTAGTGTTGGGAATCGGAAGCGGAAATCCTAATCGATAATCGGAAGACTTTTATCCAAATTCTGGTAAATATATTTGAAATATAGGTGTTATTATGATGGTATACCACTTCGCGTTGGGATTTGCAGCATAAGTCTGCCATGTAAAATCAAAGGCTGACTTGGTATATCCATTTGACAGTCTTTTATACTTTTACACTTTTGGTTTTAACCTACTACTAGAATTTGAGTAAGAGAAAATCTGACAGATATCAACAGAAAACATCATGCAACATTTAAACCAATGAATTAATTTTGAAATTTATCAATCGATTAATTCGAATTGGTTGTACAATCGATTGATTTTCGATTATAATCGATTATCGGAACAACACATATATATATACAGTATGGCATGGCTATGTATGTTTCACAGCTTTTCTAAACTCATTTGTAAAAGATAACCTGGTCAGGTATGTGGGTGATATAAGTTTTTCTGTAATATTAAAACAAATGCAGCATACATTTTACTTCCTTTTCTATTTTTCTTCTATAACCTAGATTTTACTTATATGGAGAATATATAGATATATATATATGTTGACTAATTTGACGTGCTTGATAGTCCTTTTAGTACGAGTACATGTATTTTTGACACCCCAAAACATTGTTTAACTTATAATAAAGACAGATGAAAACATTACTCAAACATTCAATCTACAGATGTGCTTTAGGCTATAAAGAGTAAAACGTGTTTGTAACACATCCCAGAGGACTAAAAGATATTAGTTTGAAATAGGCACGTTATATATACATGTAACTTGTTTATGATATCATTCCTTGCCACACAGTATTAAATGACTTTATGGTGACAAACAAATTAGCTATAAACATAATCTCAGACTCGAGGTAGTTGGATGGGCTTATTATATTAACTCGTTCACCCCTGAAATTTCATAATGAACTATTCCAACCTTTGAATTGGAGGAGTTCAAATGTGTCTTTGGGTATAAATGAGTTAAATACAGGGCAGTGAAATATATAACATTTGTTGGCATTGATTTCCTACTAAAATACAATTGGAATGGGTGGGCTTATTACCGGGCATGGGCTTATTGCTGGACAAATAGGATAATACAACATGTTAAATGTATGTCAGTACAATGTAACTTAGGGTCATCATGATTAATTTTCCCTCTAATGGTACCAAATTATAGGTTTGATGAAATCATACATGTATCTACCAATTGTAATGTAAGTGTAGATGACTATATAGTAATACTCCTCTTTCTGATTGCAGGTAGAGTTTCCTGAAGCCAGGATATTTGAAGAGACTCTGAATGTGTTACTGTATGAAAACCGCGAGTCCCGCCCAGACGAAGGCCTCATGCAGGCCACCAGGGGCTACGCTGATGTACACCATAGTTACCATAGCGACGAGGAGGTGGAGGAAAAACTGGATCGCAAAGATCGAATGCGGCGGAAATAATTATTTATTGTGTATGAAATGCCCTGTTAGATCATTGTGATAATGTACGTGTGGACAGTATGATGATAGATGTACGGATTTTCTGTAGAACCGAGGCCTGTCTCCCTATACACACGTCATAGACTCTTCCATATCAATGGGGACAATTCTATAATTGTATCCATTTGGGTCAGTTCATGTAGAGCTTCAGGGGTTGAGGAAGGTTGAATTTCTTTCACCTTTTCAATCTCTGTGTTTTCACAGTGGACTGCTGATGGGCTGTGAGCTTGCATTGTATGATAGATTAATTGGAGACCTTTGAGTATGATGGACTAATCCAAGACCATTGATATGGTCTGGACTGGACCATGTAGGATTGGGCATCACTGATCCAACTCCTTCATTCAGGGCTAGACAATAAGGGTAGCCCGATAGTCAATGAAACAAGTGTTATCTCCAGCTGGACTAGTGGTTCTAAAAAGTTAAAAGCACTGGTCCGTTTGACAACTTGGACAGTTGGCCAGTTTTGGAATTTTTCCCCACCCCCAACTAAAATTAATATGGTAGGATATCTGGTTAAATAGCTCATTGGTGACTGTATTAGTGATGCCCAACTACAGGTGTTATGTCTGGGAGTCGGGTCGTGGTTCAAGCGTCTGTGATTATTGAGTATTACAGCCGAGAAGATGGACAGCAAGTTTAGGGGTGAATATTTATATATTGTACAGACTCCTTGTGTAGCGTGTCCGAAATATGATTATGATGTTTGTGTGTGAACAGTTCCTCCTGCGCTTTCTTGTACTTATTTAGGCAAACAAAACAGAGATCCAACTCTTAAAAGGCAAAAAACAATAATGATGGTTCAGTCTTTGTCAAATTGACCTTATTCACCCCTGAAATTTCATAATAAACTATTCCAACCTTTGAATTGGAAGAGTTCAAATGTTTCTTCAGGGGTGAATGAATTAAAGAAATGGAATAGCATGGAATGTTCAACTGAAAAATATTCATCAAGTAAATTGGGACTTGCTTTTTAGATAATCATGTCCCGCCTGCTTATGCAGTTTCCTAAGCGTTCCATCAAAACTCTATCCTGCAATCATACCAAATTAATATTATGCATCAGTATTTTCATTTTTAAAACTTTCTGATAATTTAATAATGTATACTCTACATGTGTTCTATCGAAACGAAAACTCATCTACCGTTAAATGTGCATGTGTTTCATATGCCCAAGTAGGAGGCACGGTAGTCTAGTGGTAGGACACTGGGCTTGTGACCGAAGGGTTGCGGGTTCGAGTCACGACACTATGTTGTATCTTTGAGCAAGATACTTTACTCCACTTGTTCCAGTCTACTCAGCTGTAAATGAGTATGTGGTTGGGCAGTGCTCGAATTGTTGAATGCTAGCTGTGAGTGCCAAAATGGCAGCACCGGCTGTATGCTCCCCAGGGAGTTGAGAAATGATACTGGCTGGTTGCAAAGGCCCTATAACCAGGGATAATAATTTGTGAACCGCTTTGTGACGACCTACGAACTAGGTTGTGATAAAGCGGTATATAAGAACCGCAAATTATTATTATAATTATTATTATTATTATTATTACACGTTTGAGGTTAAAATCCTGAATAAATGAAATTATTGGTTCTGGCTCTGTCAGATCCTTCTTACCTAGTAACTTGAAGCCGAAGACAAGGGTATGATAATGAGTCTAGATGTTCTAACTTACATTGTTATACAATGTATGTGCACATTTATCTGTATAGTGATAAAACCTTGTTACAAACTGTGACCTTCCACAAGCCACAGGTACATATACTGTGCGACAATGTTACTTAGACCGTGTACCTATGAATAATTTTGTTTTGTGTAACTATTAATATCTTGATTTAATACGTAACATGGTAGATGCTGTTAAGGTCTTTGACGGAACAGGACTTACTTTGTCAGATGTTTTGGCGAAACAGGACTATGACTTTGTCAGATATTGCTACCATTCAGCATTAAATTATAGCATGGTTTTGGCCAATGCTATGTTCATTACCTCAAGTGTTAACTGCCAATTACTGTGTAGTGGGTATTTTTTAGTGAGGAACTACTGTTTGCAGATTTAGTATATATGAGCGCAAAAAATAAAATGACAAAAAAAAAGTTATTTCATGATTTTTCCCGAATTCTCCATTATTTAAATTAGACTTCATTTAATATAGTGTATGTGTCTGACAGCTGGATGTCAATATGGTCGTGAATATTTAAAAATCTCAAACTGAAGGTTAATGATTTATTGTGAGCGGAGCTGCTTGGATGGGATACATTGAGAAATTTTAACAGAAATGCGAGAAGCTGTATCTTTTATTAAGGCCTGGCTCTGGGTCACAGGTTGGGCAAAACTTTCTGTTCTGAAGACCCTGAAAAATTGTAAAATTCTGAAAGAAAAATCAGCAAAAAAATAAAATCTCAAAAATAAAACCAGTCATTTTATGTACAAAAAACGCAGAAATTCACACTTGCAAAAATTACCTGCTATATGATACCATACGTCTGATTCAGGTCCTTCGACAGGTACTTGACTGTTCAAGTTCGTTACTATTTCTTACTTTTTCATCATAATGTTTATAGAGCAAACCTGTTTCCTAACGGCAATACTTGTTTTTAATATGTATCTCCAAAAAATTGTGTTTTTCTCGTTCAATATGAAATAAAAAGCACAGAAATTAATCCTGTAATAATATGCACAGATATATCATAATTATAATGTACAGTAACATACTGTTTAATCTATATGAATATAGCAGTATCATAACATTATAAACTTAATATGAAACGACGAATTGTTATTGATTTAAAACACATTTTATTGGCTAAAAAACACAACTGTTATCGTTATCTGTTAGCGGAATTGCACGAGGCTGGACACTGGTCTTATAGTTTCCCAATATATGTTCCAATTCTGAAATAATGTTTTTATAACAATTATATTTGCACGATTTCCAAAAAGCCAAATCCTTAACAAGAAAGGTCAGATACCTAAGTATAGAATTTCAGATTCCCCATACTTTAAACCAGGACATTTTCGTTGCAGTTAAATTTTTCCCCTTTTCGCCATCCGCAATGAGGTCGAATTTATCATTACAGCGAACAATAATAAGCGATTTAATATAAACATTAATCAATGTGAAGGGCAAAATTAACATTGGACGAAAATTGATTTTATCAGCGTAGGTCAAAATATTCATTATATGCTGTGCATAATTTGTATTATATTAATTTATCAAGAAAATCATTAAGTTAAATGTAAACTACTGATGCCAAAAAATATGTACTAGTTAATATTGACTTGCCAATTTTGTATTGATGGGAAAAGAATTTTGAAATAGATTAAGACCATGAGTAACTTCAGTGGTACCTTGTTAATTTTGTCTTGTGAGGTACTTGTATCTTATTGTTTCTGTGATTTTAAATTGGTTATCTGAGATCTTGAGTTTATTAAAGTTGCTATTGTATTGCAGTATTGCACACTTTGATTTGTTTTTGTTTATTCTTAAGAGAAAATATAATGTATTAAATGTTGTATAAGAAACTGGTATCAAAAGCCAGTCACTGAATGGTGACATAATATAAATGAGTCACTGACCTGGGACAGAAATGAGTCATTGACTGGTTTGATAGTGAAACACGGAATGGTGTCTTCAGTGAGCAACTGGCTGGTGTCATAGGCGAGTCACCGACTGGTGTCATAGGCGAGTCTCCGACTGGTGTCATAGGCGAGTCTGGTTGCCGACTGGTGTCATAGGCGAGTCGAGTCGCCGACTAGTGTCATATATAGGCGAGTCGCCGACTGGTGTCATAGGCAAGTCGTCGACTGGTGTTGTAAGTGAGTCACTAACAAGTGTCATTTGACAGTCACTGACTTGTGTCATTAATTAGTCACCAACCAATGTAAGTGAGTCGCAGATCCAATTTATTTAGTGACTGGTGACATTATTAATCACTTACTGGTGTCATCAGTGAGTCACAGACCAATAAATAAGTGACTCTTGAACGAATGTCCAAAATCACTGAACCACAACAGATCCTGCTGCTGGATATACAGAAGGCTGTCATCTAATTATCCACTCCTCTTCCAGTTAGTTGTGGGAAGACTCATCTGAAGGTGAGAAAAATACCATTTAATTATATCCCTTTTAACTGGATCTTGGTCAAGAATTATCTAATTATCTCCCCTGGTCCTGGATGTAGGAGATGCACTGTCATCTGCTTATCTCCCCTGATCCTTGGATGTAGGAGACACAGTGTGTCATCTGATTATCTCCCCTGAAGCTGGATGTCTCCACTGATACTGCTATAAAACAAGTGAGACAGTAAGCAAATTATTCCCTTGATCTTGATGCTCGATGTAGGGGATACACATTCATCTAAATATCTCCCCTGATGCCGGTTATAGGAGACACACAGTCATATAATTATCGCCCCTCACATTGGATGTAGTCAAGACAATGCCATCTTATTATCTCCCCTGATGGTAGATGTAGGAGCCAATCGAATCACTTTGCCTTTTTCATTGCATGCACCAAACAAAAGGCCCAGAGGGCCTGTATCGCTCGCCTGTTTCATTTGTTACATGGAACTGACATAGGTAACTTCAGACCAAATTTGGTAACTAGAACACCAGACATTTTAGCATCTCTTAAACGGTTCTTAGGATATTGTTGTTTGAAATTTTAATTTTAAAGCTTTTAACCCACGTTACTCCAGCTTGCACTAAAGTTGACCTTTGACCTCAGTACTGTAATAAAGAAAACAATTCACACATCTGGTCTAAATAACATAGTAAACACACCAAGTATCATGACTCTAGACCAAATGGTTCTTAAGATATTGTTGTTTGAAGTTTTTTAACCATATTTGACCCCTTTGACCTTGAAAGTAGGTCATGGTTATTTTAATGAATAAACTTCATAGCACTCCATCCCAGGTACCTACTGGCCAAATATCATGATCCTGAGCCTTATGGAACTTCAGAAGATTTTTAAAGTTTTAAACCTATATTGACCTTTGACCCCTGACTAGCACTTAAAGTTGACCTTTGACCTCATTAATGTATTTAAGAAAAAAAATCGCACTGTTTGTTCATAACATACCCTAGTACCATGACTTTAGTTCAAATGGTTCTTAGGATATTGTTGTTTGAAGTTTTAACATATTTGACCCCTGTGACCTTAAAACTAGGTCAAGGTCATTTTAATGATGAAACTATAGCACTTTAAGTTGACCTTTGACCTCATTACTGTAATTAAGAAAAAGATTTGCACTGCTGGTCTACATAACATACCCAAGTATCATGACTGAGGCTAGTCCAAATGGTTCTTTGGATATCGTTGTTTGAAGTTTTTAACATGTTTGACCCCTGTGACCTTGAAAGTAGGTGAAGGTCATTTTAATGAGGAAACTCTATTGCACTCTATCTTAGGTACCTACTGGCCAAATATCATGACCCTGGGCCTTATGGGACTTGAATAGAAGATTGTTAAAGCTTTTAACCCATGTTGACCTTTGACCCCTGATTAACACTTAAAGTTGACCTTTGATCTCATTACTATAATTAAGAAACCAATTTGCACTGCTGGTCTTCATAATATACACAAATATCATGACTCTAGTCCAAATGGTTCTTAGGATATTGTTGTTTGAAATTTTTAACATATTTGACCCCTGATACCTTGAAAGTAGGTCAAGGTCATTTTATTGAGGAAACTGTATAGCACTCTATCCCAGGTACCTACTGGCCAAATATTATGTCCCTCGGTTCTCTTGTTCTCTTTAGATGAAGTCGTTCCAAAGAAAAAGTTGACGGATGGACGACAGACACCGCAGTATCATGGCATAAGCTCACATGTACATGGCCCTTTGGGCCAGGTGAGCTAAAAACAAAATTGGCTCATGTGGTCCGATTTAAAAGACACTGTCATATCTAATTATCTTCCTTTATAGTTGTGAAGGCGAGACACTGTCAATTTAATTTCCTCTTCAAATGCTGAAAGTAATTGAGACAGCTAGGTCTGTCATCTTGGTATTTCCCTTGATTCAGAATGTACCAGTAGTTGAGTGCATTTGACAGACTTTTAAATGCTATTTCAAATGAAAATTCATAACCTTTGACATAGAGGACATTGAATTGTTTCCAATTGAATACCATATATATTTCATGAGTATGGCAGGGTATTGAAATTTTCATGAGTGCAAAGCTCTAGCATAGGTGCAAACCTCATTAGGAGGGAGACTCCCTCATTTGGACCAAAATTTACCAATCT